TAGGGTTTTAGGCTTCAGGGTTTGGGGGTTTAGGGGTTTAGGGTTTTAGGGTTTTATGGGTTAGAGTTTAGGGTTTAGGTTTTTTTGGGTTTTTAGGGTTTCAGGGTTTTACGGTTTAAGGGTTTTAGGGTTTTAGGTTTTTAGGGGTTTAGGGTTTTGAGGTTTTAGGGTTTTAGGGTTTCAGGGTTTAGGGTTTAAGTTTAGTGTTTAGGGATTTAGGATTTCAGGGTTTTACGGTTTTAGTGGTGTAGGGTTTTAGGGTTTTAGGGTTTAGGGTTTACTGTATACTGTTTAGGGTGGAGAAGTTCAGGATTTAGGGTTCAGAGTTTTTGGGGTTCAGGGTTTAGGGCTAGGGTAGGGCGTAGGCTAGACCCCTTTAAACCTAAACCTGTTAGGGTTCTGCTCTTGGGATTTAGGACTTGGCATGCTGCTGCTGTCACAGGTTGGCCCCTAAACCCTAAACCCTAAACCCTAAACCCTAAACCCTAAACCCTAAACCCTAAACCCTAAACCCTAAACTCTAAACCCTAAACCTTAAAGGTTGGCAGGGTCTCACTGTTCTTTTGTAGAGGACATGGCATGCTTTCGCGCGGCAGTCGATGTTCACTCCCCCCCCACCCCCCAACACTAAGCCCGAAACCCTAAACCCCTAAACCCTAAACCCGAAACCCTAAACCCTAAACCCTAAAAGCCCTGAACCCTATAAACTTGATGCCCCGAAAAGCTCGGGGTCACCCCGTCTTCAACAGGCCCTTAGAGTTCAGGGTACCCTAAACCCTAAACCCTAAACCCGAAACCGCCAGGCTTGCGCATGCGCTCCCTTGGGTTTAAGCTCGACCTCGACAGCAGCGACGCCAGCAAGGTGGGTCGGGAGGGGTTTAGGGGTAGGGTGGATTTAGGGTTTAGTTAGGGTTTAGGGTTTAGGGTTTAGTTTGGGGTGTAGGGTTTAGGGTCTACGGGGTGGCGTGTGGGAACGTACATAGGGGCTGCCCTTCTTGTTTGAGCCTCGATCAGAAGACATGCGGCCCTTTCAGCCCTTTTCTCGGGCCTTTACAACCCCTACGTATAGCTGTGCCTGGGCCCTAAATCTGAACTCCCAGGGTCCCACCCTAAACCCGAACCCTAAACCGTAAACCCTAAACCCTAAACCCTAAATCCAAAACTCAGCTCCCGGCATTCCCTCCCCGAATGAATGTGGACCGGAGCCCCAGAAAGTGAGCCCTCATTCCTTTTGTGCTTGCACCCCTAAGCCCTAAACCCTAAACCTTAAACCTTGTGGTTTTAAGTTTTCGGGCTACACTCCTGAGGGCTTCTGGGGCCCTGTATGCATTTTGGCTGCTGGGTTTGGACCCTCGTTTTGCGTTCAGAGGCCATCTCCACATGCTGAACTTGGCTTACGGGGCCCCTGTCAAGATGCAACTGCAATTTATTCCCTTCTCCCTAATACAACACCCTCCAAGGAAAAAAAGATAAAACATAAATAAAGTAGATAAAATAAATAGCAGGCAACAAACAAAAAAGAACCGCCATTCGAATCGGCCGGCAAATGTTAAACAAAAAACTGGGCGGGGGGGGGGGTGAGGGCCTTTAGTCGTTTTAGTACTGGGCGCCAGGGGGGTTGAGGGTCGGGGAAAATCATATTGAAAGTTAAGGGGGCTGTCCCCCCCTTTCCCTCCCCCAGACTGGGTCTAACCCTAAACCCTAAACCCTAACCCCTAAACCCTAAACCAAAACCCAAAACCCTAAACCCTAAACCCTAAACCCCTCTCAACCTTAAGTCAAAAAAGTCCCAACCGACAGATACAGCTGAACCTCCCTGAGCCGCTGCCTCAGAGGTTGGTTGTCGATTAGGGTTTAGGGTTTAGGGTTTAGGGTTTAGGGTTTAGGGTTTAGGGTTTAGGGTTTAGGGTTTAGGGTTTAGGGTTCAGGTTTTACTGATTCCTTCCGTCCAGGGTAGGGTTCAGGTTTTCGGGGTGTAGGGTTGGTAGGTTCAGGGTTTAGGGTAAGAGTATAGCTTGTACAGGGTTCAGGGCTTGAAGGGTGTTACGGGCTTAGCGCCTTATTTAAGGTTTTGTGAGGGGTTAAGGGTGTTGAGTGGTCCAGAGACTACTGGGCTTGCAAGGGCCGTCTCGGGTCCTGTTTTTTTCGTTACGTTCTTTGTTGGTTGTTCTTTGGTTTCTTTGGGGTGGCTTTGGGCTTCTTAGGGTGTGTAGGGGCTTGGTTCCTAATCACCCTAAACCCTAAACCCTAAACCCTAAACCCTAAACCCTAAACCCTAAACCCTAAACCCTAAACCCTAAACCCTAAACCCTAAACCCTAAACCCTAAACCCTAAACCCTAAACCCTAAACCCTAAACCTCCCTAACCTAAATCCTAAACCCTAATTGGAGGTCTATCGCTTGTTGACATGCATATTTTCAGCGGCCTGGGGTTTAGAGCTTTCCAGAGGCTCAGGGTTCTTAGGACGAAGGGTGTCGTTTGAGGCATCAAGATCTTGGGATTTGGGAGGTTTACCCCGCTCCTGGTTGAATCCTATCCATACCGCCCAGTCTCGCCATGATGCGCACGGACATCGAGTACCGAATCATGCTCCTTGGCCTAAGGGTTCAGGGTCAAGGGGTTAGGGTTTAGGGTTTAGGGTTTAGGGTTTAGGGTTTAGGGTTTAGGGGGGTAGTTGGAAGATACCCAAACGTATTCACGATTCAAACGAGAGTAGGAATAGGTTTTCGGCTTCCGGATTTGGTGGTGTTGCTCTTCGTGCGAAGCCTAGCAGACTTGTAAGGTTGGGCCTTCCAACAGTTGGGTGGGTCAGGCTTTACGGTTAGGGTTTGCGGTTCACGGTTTACGGCTTTCGGCTTACGGTCTAGGGTTTAGGGTTTAGGGTTAGGGTTCAGGGCTTAGGGTTTAGGGATCAGGGTTTAGGGATCTGGGCTTGTACATCTCCAACATCGCACGCAACCTCAACTCGCAAGACCATTCAGAGATTCTCACTGATGTCATCTAGGGAGCAGTGGCCTCTCGAAGGCCATCGCCGTAGCTTAGGGTTGGTTTAGGGTTTAGGGTTTAGGGTATTTAGGGTTTAGGGTTTAGGGTTTAGGGTTTAGGGTTTAGGACGGAGGGTTCCGGGCTTAGTGTCTTTTGGCTCCTCTGCCACCTTGATGCTTTCTCGGAGACTCTGGCCGCACTCTCCAGGGTGTTGCAGGGTTGGAGGCTAAGGGTCCAAAATTCACCGCTGCCATACGGGAGTTTTGGAGCCCTAGCGTAGACCCCCAGATAGTAGTAGGATTCCCTGATAATCAGGACCCCAATAAGGTACCCCTATTTTCGGAAACCCTAAACCCTAAACCCTAAACCCTAAACCCTAAACCCTAAACCCTAAACCCTAAACCCTAAACCCTAAACCCCAGGTTCTTGGCAGTCACGCCTCCCTTCAACTCGGCCCGGGCCTCGATACTTGGAGCATCGGGGGTGGGCGCTTCGTAAGTAGGGTTCTACGCACCTTCATTGGGGGGAGTGGAAGATTTGGGGTTTCGGGTTTAGGGTTTAGGGGGTTTAGGGGGTTTAGGGGAGGGGGTTTAGGGGGTTTAGGGGGTTTAGGGGGTTTAGGGGGTTTAGGGGTTTAGGGGGTTTAGGGGGTTTAGGGGGTTTAGGGGGTTTAGGGGGTTTAGGGTTCAGGGTTTAGGGTTTAGTAGTTGAAAGCATACTTGCCCTACTTAGGACCACCAAAGGTGCGACTTTGACCTGGACCTTGCTGGGCGGCCAACCCCCTTGGGCAGTCATTTGGGTTTAGGGTTTAGGTTTTAGGGTTTAGGGTTTAGGGTTTAGGATTTAGGGTTTAGCCCACATCCACATCACTTTGCCGTCGCCCGGGCAGCAATAGAGAGGGGCGACGCCATGAACAATGGAGCCTACAAGGAGGCAGCCTTGGACTTCTTATGCGAGAGCTACCCAACACCCTCAACCTTAGACCCTGAACCCTGAACCCTGAACCCTAAACCCTAAACCCTAAACCCTACATCCGCCTTATTACCAGTTGCCGGGCAGCTTGCCGCTACATGTGAGTCCAGACCCTGTCGGGGCAAGGTCTGGTAGGGCGCCCCAAGCACCCGCACCCCAAAGGTTTGGGGTTAGGGCTTAGGGTTTAGGGTTTACGGCTTGGCATGTCAAGGGATACCTCCAGGAATCCAGGGCCAAAGGGGCACCTCCCAACCCTGAACTATAAAACCCTTTGGAGGGACGGGGCCCCTACTTCTTACGGAGGCCGGGGCTGTGTCGGGAAGCAAATTTTCCAACTTCTCGATGACAAACATTAGTTGCTAATAATGGTACATACCGTGGATATATTCTGTTATTTATATTTTCGATGCTACACTCATAAAGCTTACTATCGCCTGAACACTGACTGGTTCTCCTAGACCCTAAACCCTAAACTCCTAAACTCCTAAACTCCTAAACTCCTAAACTCCTAAACTCCTAAACTCCTAAACTCCTAAACCCTAAACCGCTGAAGACTCTGCCTCCAGAATGTGGGTACTCAGGGATTCTTCCCCAAAAGGCTCGTAAACCCTGGCGCCCCGCTCACTACAGGCCCGAGGCGACGACCCCAGAAGACGGTCGAGGGTTGAGGGTTTAGGGTTTTAGGGTTAAGGTTTAGGGTTTAGGTTTAGGGTTTAGGTTTAGGGTTTAGGGTTTAGGGTTTAGGGTTTAGGGTTTAGGGTTTAGGGTTGAGGAATCCGGGCTAGTAAAACTTGGAATGGTTACTCTCTGTGAATCTTAAACCCTAAACCCTTAACCCTAAACGCTAAACCCTAAACCCTAAACCGTGTTCACAACATTGTGGGTGTCCATGATTGACAATCTCGTATAAATTAGTCTACGGCACCAGAAAGGGCAGAGAATCTAGAAGACCCAGTCTGTCCTCGGGTTTGAGCAGCTTTTTGAAAGAACTCCCCATTCGCTTCAGGGTTTAGGGTTTAGGGTGCGCCTTACCCCTACGCAGATGCGGGTTCAAGACGACCTTTGGGTCATCGAGATCACGGATGACTTCAAGCAGAGTATGGGCCAGGCCCTACGTGTGCGTGCGGCTTAGGGTTTAGGGTTCGGGGCCCTAAACCCTAAACCCTAAACCCTAAACCCTAGACCCCATACCCTAAACCCTAAACCCTGAACCCTTTCGGGGCTTAGGGCAGTCTAGGGTCTGGGGTTGTTTATTCATTTCATGGTTGGGGTCTCCGATTACACTGCGGAGCCTCCTAGCTATCTTCGGGCACCTGTAGAACTGCGCGCAAGGGTTAGGGTTTAGGGTTCAGGGTTTAGGGTTTAGGTTTAGGGTTTAGGGTTTAGGGTTTAGGGTTTCGGGTTTCGGGTTTCGGGTTGAGCCAATGGGCCTAAGGTTTACAGTAGGGCCTGGGCAAGGGGATTGACAGGCTCTATAGGGCCCCCGCCGGCGGTGGCCTTGTGTTCGGGATAGTCTAAGCTTCGAATCCTCAAGCCTAAGCCCAAACCCCTAAACCCTAAACCCTAAGTCCTAAACCCTAAACCCTAACCCCCTCCAAACCCTGAGGCCTAACCCCTTATATACCCTATACAACCCAAGGGCCCATACTTTAGAACCCTTTGAAGGAGGGCCATATTAAGGGCCATAGAACTACCCTTAGAATGACCCTCAACCCTACAGACCTCAAAGCACAACTCTAGTGCCCTAGTTGAAAGTTCTTCAAGCAGGAGCATGCCTCGACGAATCCTAAATCCACATCTTTGACCCCCACCCCCACCCAACAAGCGTCCACCCCAAGTGGTGTGATGAGCAACCCTAAACCCTAGGCCCTAAACCCTAAACCCTAAACCCTAAACCCTAAACCCTAAACCCTACACCTTTGAACCCGAAACTTTCTGGAAGCACCTGGGCTGTCCAGGTGTCACAGCAGAAGGGCTCCCTGACCGACTTTGAGCTTCTGAGCAAGGCGAACGGGAGTTTAGGGTTAGGGTTTAGGGTTTAGGGTTGAGGGTGTAGGGTTTAGGGTTTAGGGTTTAGGGCTTAGGGCTTAGGGCTTAAGGTTTAGGGTTTAGGGTTTAGGGCTTAGGGTTTAGGGTTTAGACGTGTTTGGAGAAGTTTAGGGTTGAGTCTTCGGGGCCCCGGTTTTTTTGCTTTAGGCTTTGAACTCAGGTGCTGGGCTGGGTTTGTCGAGTCACGGGCTGTCCCGAGGGGTCGCAAGATTGCTCTCCCCCCGCCGCCTCAAGCCTCACTGCCTTGTCCATGGTGCCCACGTCGGTCCGGCCCCTCCTGTCCGTCTTGTCACCGCCGCCTGCATTTCAAGGGTGAGTGTCGTTGGAACCGTGGAGCCCACCCCCACCCTGCCTTCCGTTCACCAGCAGATGCTCCGCAATTATGCCCTGACTGCTGCTGGGTCTGGTGCCGTGCGCTGATTGCGCTGCCCACTCGGCACGCGGACCCTTTGCCTCCCACCGCTGAGCTCACCGCTCACCTGCAGGCAATCGCAGCAGCTTGCCTCCCAGGGGCCGGTTCCGCCTCCACACCTGCTTCTGCTCTCTCGCTGCGCAGTGTCCGCCGCTGGCTCCTGCGTCATCTCCGCACGCACGGGCCTGCCTCACTTGATGACCTGCTGCCGGCCCTGTGTGCCTGGGCCCCGGATTCTGCAGCAGACTGGCACCTCAGCGTCCTCCGCCGTGCCGCGCGGGCACTGCAAGCTGAAGGCCGAATCTCCTTCTCCAATCAGCACCTGCGACTGCTCGGCCAGTCATAAGAAAAGGTCCGTGCCTGTGCCTCTGTCTCTCTGTGTGGGTGTGTTGGTGTGTGTGTGTGTGTGTGTGTGTGTGTGTGTGTGTGTGTGTGTGTGTGTGTGTGTGTGTGTGTGTGTGTGTGTGTGTGTGTGTGTGTGTGTGTGTGTGTGTGTGTGTGTGTGTGTGTGTGTGTGTGTGTGTGTGTGTGTGTGTGTGTGTGTGTGTCTGTGTGTGTGTCTGTGTGTGTGTCTGTGTGTGTGTCTGTTGTGTGTGTGTGTGTGTGTGTGTCTCTGTGTGTGTGTGTGTGTGTCTCTGTGTGTGTCTGTGTGTGTCTGTGTGTGTCTGTGTGTGTCTGTGTGTGTCTGTGTGTGTCTGTGTGTGTCTGTGTGTGTCTGTGTGTGTCTGTGTGTGTGTGTGTCTGTGTGTGTCTGTGTGTGTCTGTGTGTGTGTGTGTCTGTGTGTGTCTGTGTGTGTCTGTGTGTGTCTGTGTGTGTCTGTGTGTGTCTGTGTGTGTGTGTCTGTGTGTGTCTGTGTGTGTGTGTGTCTGTGTGTGTCTGTGTGTGTCTGTGTGTGTCTGTGTGTGTCTGTTTGTGTCTGTGTGTGTCTGTGTGTGTGTGTGTTTTTCTTTCTTTTCTGTTTACCCTTTTTCTTTTGTCCCGTTTTGGCTCTTCCCCCCCCCCCCCCCAGACCCCCTTTTTCGCCGCGAATCGGGTGGTCTGGGTAGCCCTTGTCCCCCCTCCCCTCTGCTAGTTGCGAGTCAGCGCCTCCGTCAGCTCCGGTCCCTCTGTCAGCCCCCTATTTCCCCCCTCGCCGTGTCTCCTACGGTCTATAGGCTGCAAGTCCTACCCCTCCCTCTCTTCCCTCTTCCCCGTGCTCACTCCACCGGTGCCACCGGCCCCCTCCCCTTGTCTCGCGTGTACCAGGCGAGGCCTCCTTGCCCTCCTCTCGCTTCGTTCTGTTCCCCCCTCGCCACGTTCCGTTGGCCTTGCTTGAGATCCCCCTGTGCCTCATTCCTCCCTTCCAGTTGTGTTGCACTGCCGCTCGCCCGTCCTCCTCCTCCCCCTCGTTTTCCCTGTTCCCCTGTTCCTCCATGGTTTCTGGGTGGCCCGTTTTCTCCCCCTGGCCAGGGCCGCGTGTCTCGCCCTCCCCCCCCTTCCCTTTCCTTTTCCCCCTCCTTCCGCTCTTCTTCGTTCCCCCCGTTTTTTTTTTTTTCTCTCTTCTCTTTCTTGTTCTGGTCCTTTTTGGTCTGGACGTCCAGTCTTGTCCTCCTCGGCTCTCTCCCCCCTTCCCCCCGTCCCTGTACACCCGCTTGCGCCTTGGCTGCACTAGTCTAATTCCCTCACTTGAACTCTCCGCGGAGGGCTGCGATGACGCTTCCGGAGCGGTCCTGAGATGCGGGGGGGGGAAGTGGGTGGCCGGCTGCAGCTACTGCTGCTAGCCTTTCCTCCTCCTCCTCCTCCCGAGGGGTCGCAAGATTCCAAGGGCCAGCTGCGAATAGCTGTGCTGTAGATGCAAGGTATGCACTTGAGCAAGGCTATTACCCTAAGTAACCCTAACCGTAAGGCCTAAACCCTAAACCCTAAACCCTAAACCCTAAACCCTAAACCCTAAGCCCGAATTATTCCATCAGCCCGGAGCTCTTCTTCAAGAGAGAGGGTGGTGAGAAGGGTTTTCTCCTTCCTCTGTTCCTCTGAGAGGCTTCTCGACCATGACGCCCAAAACCCAAACCCCTGCGACACCTAAAAAACCTTGGAGCCCCAAAATCGCCAAACCCTAAACCCTACAACCCTTAGAAAAGCCCAAGGGTATAAACGGAACTTCCTTCTAGAGAAGCCACCAAAGACCAAGGCAGCCAGGCGAAAAAACCTCTGCTGAGTTTCCAGCGTCTATGGGGCCTTCTTAGGGCACGTCTTCGGATTTTTTTGGGGGGGAGGGCGGGGGAGATGTGGGGTGTCCTTCTGGGGATCTGGATACTACCCAAAGGCTCCAATGTAGTTCCTTTTGGGCTAGTTCTAGGGGATTCTAACATGCTACCCCAACAAGGTACTACATAGGAGCCTTTGGGTAAAGTAACAGAGCCTAATGTCCCCAAGGTTTCTTGTTGAACCACAACCCCTAAACCCCCAAACTCCGGTTGAGAGCATGTCCCTAAGGTCCTGTTGAACCACAAACCTTAAACCCCAAAACCCTAAACCCTAAACCCTAAACCCTGGTGTCTGTTGAGTGCCTGGGCAGGTGAACTTTACCTGCTGGGCCTTCAGAGCACCACCGGAGGTGGTCATTGTCATAGAGGCAGAACCGGGTTGGGAATTAGGGACTAGGGGTTTAGGGTTTAGGGTTTAGGGTTTAGGTGTTTCAGGGTGGGCTTTACGGGTTTGGTGTTTCGGGGTGGAAATCAGTCGCAGTCAGTTGCTGGCAGGGGGGGGGGGGGGGGGGGGGGGGGGGGGCGAACCCGCGCGAGTGCCGACATAAAGTTTCTGGGGCTTTTGGAGCCCGAGCAACCCCGAAAGCCCCCAAGGAACGACGAACCTGAAGCCCCCAAGCCCGTGAGGGCTTATGGCTTCAAACCTCAAACACGAGCACCGCACTGAAACCCAAACTTGCCGCAGTTTTTTGGACTTCAGCAGCCTTCTTGCCCACAGCAGCCACCCCGGACTTCACGGATGGGCAGTTAGTGCCGGCGGGAGGAAGCGGCACTGGCAACTTACTCGTCAAAGGGGTCCAGCCCCTCTGGGAAGTGGCAGGTGGTGTGTATGGGTGTGTCCGCCGCTAGTCTTTTCGTGAATTCTTTACAGTTTTTATCTCTTTTATTTACACCTCGTATTCTCTTCTCTGTTTACTTTCGTGCAATGACTTTGTTCATGCGTTTAGTGTTTGCGCTTTTAGAAATTAGAAGTGTAAAGGGGCTCATACTAAACATGGGTTATTAACTTAATGATACTGGGGGCTTCCTCGTTATTATATGAAAATAATAATTGCGCTCATAAAAGAATAATTAAGTGAGAGCGCAAAGAGATTATTGTCATTCGAGGGCCCATTATTAGTATATTTTACAGGACCCTTAAACGTACAGTATTTTATGATTACACTATTACCGCGGCTTTCTGATAATCCTTTGTACCGCAGGGAAAACTAGTATATAAAAACTCCTAAAGGTAAAGGAGAAAGGAATGCTACTAGACAACGGGCCAAGACTAAATTAATAGTGGCCCTCCAAAGCAGCTTTGGCTCCAAAGCGGCCGCCAACTTACTGCCAACTCCGACTCCGACGACCACATCGACTACCAAGCGGCGCCGCCTGGCGTGCGCGAGCTCGGGATGCGTCTGCAGGCGCTTGCGGCGCACAGCGGAACCGACGGCCTGGCCGCGGTGATCATCGGCGCCTGGCTGCGCATGCCCCCTGCGGACCATGAGTACGTCGCATCGCTTGCCCGCGGCGGCGAAGGCAGATCGGGCACGGTTGTGGCATGTCGCGCAGCGAGAGCGCCCAAGGCTGTGCTGGCGACGGCTTGTTGGACGGGCACCGCCAGCTGGCCCCACCAGCGCCGCGCCCACGATCAAGCAGCCGCTAGTCGCAAACGCAAGTCATGTTGACAGAGTTGTCCCGTTTAATTACGGCCAATGCAAAGCCATCACGTCGGGTTACTGCATGCGTCGTACGTCACAGGATCCAGGGTTCTTCTTGTTCGTAGGAAGTCACGAGCTCCCTCCACCAACGCGCCACATGCTAGAAAGCATGGCTTGGGAGCCTGAGGGGGACGGATGAAAGCCTGGATCCTACCCTACACCCTGCACCCTACAAACTCTGAACCCTAGACCCTCTGTTGTGGGCCCTACACCCTAAACCCGAAACCCCAACCCCCAAACCTTGTTGTGGGCTTAAGGGGTTTGAGGGCTCGAGCGCTGAATGGGTGGACTTGGTTTAGGGACACGATGCACTAAGCCCTAACCCCCAACAGCCCGAAACCCCAAGCTCTACACCAATCAGGGGTAGGGTGTAGGGTTTAGGGTTTGGTGTTTAGGATTTAGGATTCAGGGTTCAGGGTTTAGGGTTTAGGGTTTAGAGTTGAGGGTTGTTAAGCTTCATTAATTACCCTTCATCCCTACATAAATCCTTATAAAGCCAGACGAAATCAAATTTTATAGGGCCCCCGAGCCTACCCCAGCAATCCAAGCCCTGGCCTTAGTCCCCCTAGAAAACGCAGCCCGCATGTTGCTAGGTCATTGTTGAAAGGATCATAGTACCCCCTATTATAGCCACTATTAAGGGCTGTTAGTATAAGGGGGAACATCCCAACCAAAAAGGAACGAAAATGGTCATTTTTCAAATAGTACCCCAGCAATGGTGCAAATGTTGCTAGGTCACGCTGTACGAGCTGGGAGAAGCATCCGAGCCCGGGCCCTGTTCGTTTTTTTATTTTTGGCGGGGGGGGGGGGGGTCTAGCGTTTAGGGTTTACGGTTCGAGGTTCTAGCGGTTTGGGGTTTAGGGTTCAGGGCTTAGGGCTTAGGCTCGGCGGGCTTAGTGTGCTGGCACTTGGGTTAAGCCCTAGACCCGAATAAACCCGAAACCCGAACGCCGGAACTATTACCCCCTAACCTCTGCAACCTCAAAAGCCTACACCCGAAAGCCCCTACTAGAATGCCCAGTGCCCCTAAACCCTAAACCCTACGCCCTAAACCCTAAACCCTAAAACCTAGCCGAAGCGACGTCGAGTCGCAGGAAGATGCTGAGACCTTTGCAGGAGCCGCGTTCACATCTTTCCAGGGCCCCTCCTTGGTCTGAAACAAATGGCCCTGAACCCTAAAACCTAAACCCTAAACCCTACACCCTAAACCTTAGGCTTGAAAGGATTTAGGGTTTAGGGCTCAGGGCGAGGGATTGATCAGGGTTTAGGGTGTAGGGTGTAGGGTATAGGATTTAGGCAAAGCTCTCGGGCTTAAGGACCTCAGGTCTTATACAGGGTCCAGGTCCAGGAAGGGAAGCGCTGGGTTTTTTCGGGTTTGGGGTTTAGGTTCTGTTTGCTCGCAGGTACCCGAATCGGGTGGACGTCTATGCGCCAGCAGGCTCATCCGCACGTCCACGCTACATGAGGTGTGATTCAGGGTGTAGGGTTTGGGGTTTAGGTTCAGGGTTTAGGGTTTAGGGTATGGGGTTTAGGGTTTGGGGTTTAGGGTTTGGGGTTTAGGGTATGGGGTTTAGGGTTTGGGGTTTAGGGTTTAGGGTATCGCAGTCGGACGCCAAGAATCGCTTCCAGACGCTTTCAGGGCTTGGGGCTCAGGGAACTCCACAAGGGTTCGAAGGGCTTAGAAGGGTTCAGATGTTTTGGGTCTAGTCTTAAGGTTCCTCAGGAGGGTTCGCAAGGGCTTAGGGCTTAGGGTAGAAGCATCCACAGGTAGACAAGTTGGGTAACCAGAATTGCAATGACAAGCTTGGGCAGAAAAGCTCCTTAAGTACAGTTGATACAGAGGCCCCCTCCCTACTAGGATGATTCAGCCTTAAGCCCTAAACCCTAAGCCCTAAGCCCCAAACCCTAAGCACTCATGGCCCGTGGTTTTGGGGCTTGTAGGTTCCCTTTTCAAAACCCAAAGGCTTGAGTTTCCGAATCCTGAACAAAGAGCATCCCTTTGGGTTTAGGGTTTAGGGTTTAGGGTTTAGGGTTTAGGGTTTAGGGTTTAGGGTTTTGGCCCAAAGCTTCGCACAGGCTACAAGTTCTTGCTGAATTGCTTCGCGCCTGGGGAAAAGGAGAGGCTGAGGGTGCGACCCTCAGGTGTCGGGTCGTGTTTAGGGTTTAGGGTTTAGGGCTTAGGGCTTAGGGTTTAGGGTTTAGGGTTTAGGGTTTAGGGTTTCGGGTTTAGGGTTGAGGGTTGAGGGTTGAGGGCACTAAGGAAGCAAACCTCAAAGCCCTAAATACTGGAGAACACTCATAAGCTCCTAAACCCCTAAACTCCCAAAGCATGAAGCCTAAATTTGACTCCCGGATCTGAAGCCGCAAAAAATGTATTGAGGTGGCAGGGCCCCCTACACTTGGAAGCACTTTGACTTAGTAAGTCTATTGAGTATCCCCTTAGACCATTCTAACCCCCAAAACCCACCTTTCTAACCCTACTTACAAAGTCAAGAGGGCTTCCAAGTAGGTCTAAACCCTAAACCCTACACCCTAAACCCTAAACCTGGGTTGTGTGGATGAGGGTTTAGGGTTTAGGTTTGCAAGCGTAGCGCTGAGGGTTTCGGGTCCTGGGCTTCAGTGTGCAGCCGAGCGCAGGGTTCAGGGGTTAGGGTTTAGGGTTTAGGGTTTAGGGTTTAGGGCTTAGGGTTTAGGGTTTAGGGTCCTTGGGGATATGTTTGATTTGTCCCTTCTTATTGTTATGTTTAGAGGATCGTATGTAGGGTTTTTTTTTTTTTTCAGAGGGGTGTAAGGGCCATCCTAGCAGCTGGCCACCCCGAAGTTGTGGTTCTGGGCCCCATGCGCACTCGAAACCCTCATTTCCTGAGGCCTCATTCCCTAAGTACCCTTTCAAGTACGGCCACGTGCCCCTGAAGTCGTAAACCCTAAACCCTAAACCCTAAAGCCTAAACCCTAAGCCTAGAAGCCCTAAACTGTAAACCCAAACCCGAAACCCGCAGCCTTCCCAGGCCGTTGTTTGAGGACTTCTCAGGAGTTTTTGGCTTAGGGACTTAGGGTCTGGGGTTAAGGGTTTAGGGTTTGGGGTTTAGGGTGTAGGGTTTGGGGTTTAGGTTGTAAGGGTTTTTGGTTTCAAGGGTGCAAAGGTTTGCTAGCGTCCAAGGTAGATAAACAAAGGATTCTAGGGTTAAAGGTTTGGGCCTGCTTTGCGTTTAACGGGTTCAGGGTTTTTGGGTGAGAGTTTTTTGGGTTTAGGGTTACTTTTTCCGCCTAGCCCCTAAACCCCAAACCCCCCCTCATTAAACCCTAAACCCCAAACCTTGCCCAGTTCAACTTGGTCTCTTGCCGCGAGCGCTGGACGCTCTTCAACGGTGGGTTGCCCAGGGGGTCTGGGACATGCAGGGATTCCTGTTTTTATTTTTCATTTTTTTTTTTTTTTTTTGTTGGGGGGGGGGGGGGGTAGGGTTTAGGGTTTAGGGGGTGGGGGGGGAGGGGGTGGGGACGAGGCACCCTGTTTCACCCGAGGTTTTTTGGGGGGGCTTTTTCAGGTATTCGGTCCTAGGTGGGACCTTGGAACATGTCATTCTCCTTTTTGGGATGCAATATCGGAATACAAAATCTTGTTATAGGGTTCTGAAGGGCGGGGGGTTCAAGGAGCGTAGGTAACCCAACGCTCCCTAGTACTCCCCACTACTCCCTAAGGCTCCCTAAGCTTCCCTAAGCTTCCCTAAGGTTCCCTAGATACCTACCCCCCTTGAACCTCCCCCACTTAAGAACCTGTAATGTCTTGCTTTCGGGCCCGAAACCCTAAACCCTAAACCCTGAGTCCGCCCTTTTCTTGTCATACTGGATGCAGGATTCCCCACATGCCCTGAACGATAACCCCTATAATTAAGCTCGAATAAGGGTCTAGGGTTTAGGGTTTAGGGTTTAGGGTTTAGGGTTTAGGGTTTAGGGTTTAGGGTTTAGGGTTTAGGGTTTAGGGTTTAGGGCAACTGTATCTCCATATAAGCCAGCAGGGAAAGGTCGCCGGACTTACAAAGCAGACGGTAGAGGCTCTAGTCAGTACCCCGCTCCCAGGCCAATACGGTTTAGGGTTTAGGGTTTAGGGTTTAGGGTTTAGGGTTTAGGGTTTATAGGGTTTATAGGGTTGGCTCCGTTTGTCCAACAGCTAAACATGAGTCGCGTATAACTGTCCTTTGCTCACTGCAGGACTTTTCCGTGGAAGAGCCGGGTCAAGAACCCGACTCGTACGGGCTCAAACGGGGCGATCGCCTCTGCACTGCGTTTCCGAAGAACAGGGTTTAGGGTTTAGGGTTTAGGGTTTGTGGATCACGTGTTGCCTCCACACAGCGGTGTCCCGCTGCCGAGCATCACCACGCACGCCGCCTGCTGACAAAGTGTTGGGGGGGGGGGGGGGGGGGAACAACGGCCCCCCACCACGCCCGCGGCCGAAAGCGACATGGTCTAGGTTGAACTGGTTTAGGTTTCAATACGCGGTTTCGGGCCACAAACCCCAAAGCGTAGGTCTCAGGGTGTGAAGATTCTGGTTGAAGGTCGGAGCTCACAGTGGTGCCCTGATTATTAGTTTTGTCGAGGCACAGCCCATGAACTCCCAAAAAGGCACCGTTTTATTCTTCAGGTTAGCCATATAAACCCTAAAAACCCCTAAACGACACCTAAACCCTAAGCCCTAAACCCTAACCCAAAGAGCGAAATGCCCCCAAAATCATTGAACAGCTTCAAGGTCCGCCCCTGCCACCATGTGGTCCCTTAGGGTTAGGGTTGGGTTGTAGGGTTTTAGGTCTTAGGGTTTAGGGCTTAGGGCTTAGGTTTTAGGGTTTAGGGTTTAGGGCTTAGGGCTTAGGGCTTAGGCTTTAGGAGTTTAGGGTTCACGGCTTCTATGCCCATAGTGAGGGGGCCATGCAACCTACCCCATGTAGCGAGGCAACTATCTCAGCGGCGCCATCCTCATGGCCGCGGACAACGCTCGGGGACCCAGTGAAGCAGACTGGGTTTAGGGTTTAGGGTTTAGGGTTTAGGGTTTAGGGTTTAGGGTTTAGAGTTTAGGGTTTAGGGTTTAGGGTTTAGGGTTGTCGCCCTGAAAAAGAGGACATGATGCCCACATGCCCATATTCTAAAGTTAATTGTTTTTAGTTTGTTTTTTTTTTTGTTCGGGGGGGGGGGGGGTAGGCTCTACAGGATTTAGGATTTGGGGGTTGGTGGGGTTTAAGTTTTTGTTTCGGGCTTGGGGAGTAGTTGGGCTTTCACAAGAAGGCCAGCCGACTTTGCTTGGTTCTGCCTTTAGTGCTGAGCTGGTCGATGCACCCCGAGAATTATTTGTAGAGTCCTTAGTACCTTAGGGCAAGCTGAGGGAACCTTACGGAGTAGTGGGGAGTATCGGGAACCTTGGGTTACACACCTCCCCTCGAACCCCCCCCTCCCTTAAGAATTCTATAATGTTTTGAAGGTTTTGCCAGATGTCCCAAAGGAAGCAGAAGGACAATAAGCCTTGGGGTGTCCGAACCCCCAGTGTTCCCTACTGCTTTCGGGGGGGGGGGGGGGGGTTAGGGTTTAGGGTTTAGGGCTTAGGGCTTAGGGTTTAGGGCCATACCCCTAAATCCCAGACCCTATGAAGGAGGATCATTGTCGACCCAAGCAACCTATGTCCGAGTGACCTAAGCGTTTTGGTTTTGTTTTCTAGGATGCCCCAGTAGTGCCCTTATTCCCTTTTTGGGGGGGTTTAGGTTCCCTTATGAACCCCTTTAAGCAAAAAAGGGCACCCTTCTTAAGCCTTGGTTACTGGGCAGCCTAGTTTTTCAACGAAACAAAGTGGGTGAACCAAAAGCGCAACAGCCAGCCCAGGAGCCCTGATGTCCTAAAGCCCTGGCCTTGTTTTGGGGTTTAGGGATTAGGCATTAGGGATTAGGGATTAGGGTTTAGGGTTTAGGGTTTAGGGTTCATTGATGCATCTTCCAGGATTCGGGCTTAGGGTGTAAGGTTTAAGGTTTTTTTTTGTGGGGCGGGTTGCAGCTCCTGGGCTTAGGGTTTAAGGCTTCGGGCGCCCTAAACCCTATACTTTAACCCTAAACCCTAAACCCTAAACCCTAAACCCTAAACCCCAAACCCTAAACCCTAAACCTTTAGGGTTTAGGGTGCTCCGCGCAGGGAGTGCTGCCTTCGGACATGCCAATGCGCCCCGGCTGCATAGGGTTCAGGGTTCAGGGTTTAGGGTTTGGGGTTTAGGGTTCAGGGATTAGGGTTTAGGGTGTAGGGTTTGGGTTTTGGGTTCAGGGTTTAGGGTTTTGGGTTCAGGGTTTGGGCGGCGCATGAGGCGCTTTAGGGCTTGCCCCAAAACCCTAAGCCCAAAGGCGCTGTAGGGTTCAGAGCCCTAAACCCTAAACCCTAAACCCTAAACCCTAAACCCTAATCCCTAAACCCTAAACCCTAAACCCTAATCCCTGAACCCTAAACCCTAAACCCTAGACTTTCCTTGGGGTTTATAGGATTTATAGGGTTTAGGGTCACTCCGTAGAATCAAACAAGTAGAGCCTTATTCCCTTTGTTTGGGGGTTAGGTTCCCTTCCAAACCCCTTTAAACACATGGGTACCCTTCATTGAGGAGTTCTAAGCCCCCTACACAGACACCAAAATCCTAAACGCATGTCCCCAAAAATCCCTAAACCCTCCTCAACCCAACCCTAAACCCTCAACCCTCAACCCTAAACCCTAGACCCTTGAATTCCTAAATCCGGCATCCGACGCCCAGGTCCATCCAGCTGCAAACTCTAACGCCCGCGCTGACGCCAGCCATGCCGCTTGCTTAAGTTTTGGGTTTAAGGTTTAGTGTTTAGGGTTTAGGGTGTAGGGTTTAGGGTTTAGGGTTCAGGGTTTAGGGTTTAGGGTTTAGGGTTTAGGGTTTAGGGTTAATGTTGGAACCTGGTTTAGTAGGCCTCTTCTATAAAGTCAATTTGGCTGTGTTATTCAGGACACCCTGACGGTTTGGGGGTCCCTCTTTACAGGCAAATCGTCCGGGCGCCGTAAGAAAATTCCACGTGGCGCGCCTTCATAAAAAAATTCCGGGCATCGCTGCCCTTTTAAACTTATCTAAACTCCTCCCTATCAAAAAATCATATAAACCCCCGGGAGCGTCTAAACAGGGACAAATCCAGCCTCGACTGTTCGGGGGGGGGGGCCCACACTAAAGAGGATTATTGTTTTTTGCTTTGCTTCTCAGGGCTTCCTTAGTACTGCATAGGCATGAAAGGCTTAATGGTTTAGATAGGGGTTTAGGGTTGGGTTGTTTTTTTTTTCGGGTTCAAGGGTTTCTGCCCTGCCCATTGGCTTTATTTCGGCACCGCGCCCACATCACGCCTCCTTGAAAGTCAGGGCCCCCAAGTTAAAAGTTGGGGCTTGGGGCTTGGGGCTTGGGGCTTGGGGCTTGGGGCTTGGGGCTTGGGGCTTGGGGCTTGGGGCTTAGGGCTTAGGGCTTAGGGTTTAGGGTTTAGAGTCTGGGAGTTTAGGGTAATAATGGCCCTACTTGTAGATGCTACAGCATGAACCCTAGATTGGGATGTTCCCCCTTATACTAACAGTCCTTAGAAGAGTCATTGTAATAGGGCCAGGGGGTGCTATATTCTCTATCCCTAAGGGTCCATGTACCTAAATAGGGAATACTTGGGCCTTAAAGTACTTCGTATACAGGACTTTGGGGCCAGTTAGGTACATAGACCCTTTGGGTATCAAAGACTGTTCGTATTAAGGGCGTTGGATCGATCCGATCAGCCCTCCCGACGTGTGGAGGACCCGGTTTTCGGAGGAGGGACTCCGAGAACACGAGGAGCAGGCCACGAAGGCACGGGTTCTCGCCGACGAGGAGCTGGCCCTCAAGTGGCAGGAGGAGGAAGACTCGCGAGCCGCAGCTGACGCATCAAAGGCCGAGAGATCGTCGCAGATCGATCAGGCGCTGCGCATAGCAGGATGGGAGTCGTCCTGCCTCCAGTGGAATTTGTCGTTCCGCAAGCTGTGTTATAAATGCAGCCCTCCGCTCCACCTCGCACCCCAAACCCCAAACCCTAAACCCCAAGCCCAAACCCCAAACCCCGAACCCTGAACCCTAAACCCCAAACCCTAAGCCCTGAACCCTAAACCCCAAACCCCACCCCAAACCCCAAACCCTAAACCCCAAACCCTACACCCGAAACCCCAAACCCGAAACCCTAAACCCGAAACCCTAAACCCGAAACCCTAAACCCGAAACCCTAAACCCGAAACCCTAAACCCTAAACCCGGAACCCTAAACCCTAAACCCCAAACCCTAAACCCTAAACCCATCAGGAACGAGTTCTTCGTGCTCACGAAGCAGCGGCAGGGCGATGCGGCCTGGGGCTTGACGCCGAGCAGCTTCCCAGTGTCGAACATGCAGGCCCGGGTTTAGGGATTTAGGGTTTCGGGGTTAGGGTTTAGGGTTTAGGGTTTAGGGTTTAGGGTTAGGGTTTGGGGTTTGGGGTTTAGGGCTTGGGGCATACCCGGAAGCCCTTTCGACTTAGTAAGTAGGGTTGGTAAGTTATGGGGGTTCTCATGGGGGGTTTCTAGGTGATACTAAGTAGACGCCCGCGCCAAGAGAGCTTCCAAACAGCGGTCGGGATTTTCGGTTTAGGGTTTAGGGTTTAGGGTTTTTAACCCTATTTAGGGTTTAGGGTTTAGGGTTTAGGGTTTAGGGTTTTGGGTGGTCTTCTGGCGTGTAGGGTTTAGGGTTCAACGTGGTGTTTAAGGGTTTGTGGTTGGGGCTTGGGGGCTTTGGGTCTTGAGGGGTCGTTAGGGTTTACAGATTTTCTAGGCTCATGGCTTTGTGCAGGTTCACAGGTTCGTAGGTTCATCGGTCCAGAGGGTATAAGCTTTACGGTTTAGGCTCTAGGGGTTTAGGGGTGTCGGAGTTTAGGGTTTAGGGTTTAGGGCTTTAAATATGCCAAGAATCTCCGGATGAAACCCGGCACAAGGAACCCATCGGTAGCCCCCCGTAACAGGGTTTCCAGACACCCCTATACTTCTCCCATGGCCTCGGCTAAGCCCTAGCCCCCTCAACCGGAGGGGTGAGTGCAGGGGGTCTAGCAGGAAAAAGCCAGGAAAAGAAAACCCAGAAACACCGATGGGCCCCCAAGAAGCTGCCCGAACACCAGGGACCCCTGAAGGTACGGACAAAGGGCATTTCCCGATGAGGACCCAATGAGCCAGGAATTCTAGCCGACGAGGGTTCGATGAGGGTCCTTTTCCATTCAAAACTCTTCATGAACGGGTCTGCACGTGAAACATACGTGAGGGGAAGCGCTGTAGGGACTTGGGAAAAACCACCCACACCAAGACCCACATAGAAAAACCCCAACCTCAACCCCATACACCCACACCGCATAGAAAAACCATATTCCCCAGCCCGAAATCTCTAACCCTTGAAAATGGAAATGGTATTCTCAAAAAAAAAAATTAATAGGAATAAGGTTTAGGACTTAGGTCATATCGACGAGAACGATACTAATAGTATGGCATTAACTATTCGTCTCGATGCGCGATTTTCAGCTTCCACCACCTCTCTGGAGCATTGCTTCCTACATCCATCTCTCAATGGCCATGAAAGCTGGCCTCGCACTTGCTACACTCTTCTGGACACAAATGAGTGCATCCCAGTCGTTTCTTGGAATTCGTCCTGGCTCCTGGTGCGTTCATGCGCCCGTTCAATCACGTTTGGCGCGGCCACGGCTTCAACGTGTCAGGTGCGGGTCTAGCAATATGCACACAAGGACTTTCGCATTCTCACCACGTTCCGGATCTGTTCAAGTTTCCAGCAGTGGCGTAGTGAGGAAGAATGGCTTGTCAGCCTGCGGGGCATTCAGCGACCATGCGCAGCGTTTGAAACCAGTTTTGGCAGTCTCATCGGGTGAACATCATACGTGTGCAGTGCGGACAGATGGTCAGCTCGTCTGCTTTGGATTTAGTCCTTGTGGGCGGTGTGACGTGCCAACAGATTTGGGACCAGTTTTGGCAGTCGCAGCGGGCGCAGAACATACTTGTGCAGTGCGGACAGATGGTCAGCTCGTCTGCTTTAGGCTTACTTTTTGGGGCGGTGTGACGTGCCAACAGATTTGGGACCAGTTTTGGCAGTCTCAGCGGGCAGACAATATACAGGTGCAGTGCGGGCAGATGGTCAGCTCGTCTGCTTTGGACTCAATGGACAAGGGCAGTGTGACGTGCAACCAGATTTGGGACCAGTTTTGGGAGTCTCAGCGGGCGAACGTCATACTTGTGCAGTGCGGACAGATGGCCAGCTCGTCTGCTTTGGATGTAATTTGTTTGGGCAGTGTGATGTGCCAACAGATTTGGGACCAGTTTCGGCAGTCTCAGCGGGCGGACATCATACTTGTGCAGATGGTCAGCTCGTCTGCTTTGGACTTACTGATTGGGGGCGGTGTGACGTGCCAGCAGATTTGGGATCAGTTTTGGCAGTCTCAGCGGGCAGACAATATACAGGTGCAGTGCGGGCAGATGGTCAGCTCGTGTGCTTTGGATACAATGGAGAAAGGGAGTGTGACGTGCCAGCAGATTTGGGACCTGTTTTGGCAGTCTCAGCGGGCGCAGACCATACATGTGCCTTGCGGGCAGATGGTCAGCTCGTCTGTTTTGGATGCAATCAATTTGGGCAATGCCGCATGCCAACAGATTTGCCACCAGCTTAGTGGACCATTGTCAGTCATATTTGTGCTGTGCAGTGTGGGCGGATGGTCAGCTCGTCTGCTTTGGAGACGGTCATGGGAAGTGTAATGTGCCCAACCCTGATCATGCAGAAAACGCTAGAGAGCGCTTATCCTCAAACCTTGAGCAGTTCGAATCTCACATCTTGCCGATCAAAACCTTCAACTTCATAGTAATTTTAACCTAATTGATTTTTAGTTTCTTCTGTTGTATAAATATTCTGTGACCAGTTGCTCACTCTTTCTTTTTCATTTGGTTTTGTCTTCCTAAATATCTTAACTTCATCTCCTACATTTAGTTTGGGATAAACGCGGTTCTTTTTGCCCTTCATCGTTAAGTTCAATCTCACTTTGAAAAAGCCGACCATGTCTGGGCGTATTCCAGAATTTAAGGGTTTGGGGTTTAGGGTTTAGGGTTTAGGGTTTAGGGTTTGCTGTTCTAGTGATTCTAGTGGTTTGGGGTTTGGGGCTTCGGGGCGCAGAGTGCCAGGACACCAACGGACCTAAATCCAAAACCCTGAGCCCCCCCCTATTTAGGGTTTAGGGTTTGAGGTTTAGGGTTTAGGGTTTAGGGTTTAGGGTCTAGGGTCTAGGGTTTTTCCTCGGCCCAGGGTCTCAAGCTTAGCATCTGAAAGCAAAAGCCTGGCAAAACCCCCTTTCTTCATAGGTCGCAGCCTACAAAAAGCTAGGCTTTGGGGGGCTTCTAAGGCAAAACCCTCGACCTTCAAGCCGAACCTAAAGCCAAGAATGTTGGGAAGTTCAGCTCCTCGAGGGAGTTCCCCATCCCCAACTCTTATACCCTGCACCCTAAACCGTACACTCACCTACACCCTAAACCCTAAACCCTAGAGTATTCTTAGGACTTAGGGCTTTGTGACTTTGGGAAGTTCAGTTCTTCGGGCTGATCTCGGTGCAGGTCACGAACCGCTACACCGGCGTGGCAGGGGCCGAGGTCACGGGGAGCAGTCGACTTCGGCTTGGGTTCAGGGTTATAGGGTGTAGGGTTATGGGGTTTAGGGTTTAGGGTTTAGGGTTTAGGGTTTAGGGTGTAGGGTTTAGGGTTTAGGGTTTAGGGCTTGGAAGGGCTTCAAGGATTGCAGGGTTTAAGTGCAAGGGTTTGAGGGTCTATGTAAGGGTTCAGGGTTTAGCGATCCTTGACCTTTAAGGGTTGAGGGTTGAGGTGTTAGTACTTCATACGGCTCTTACTCTAAACCCTAAACCCTAAACCCTAAACCCTAAACCCTAAACCCTAAACCCTAAACCCTAAACCCTAAACCCAGCATCTGCAGGTGCCCATGTTCCTTGCCCTGCAGCTTCGCTACCCACTGCCCTGGGGAGGAAATGCCGGATGCCCAGGGGGAGGGGGGGGGGGGTAGGGGGGGGGTTTAGGGTTTAGGGTTTAGGGCTTAGGGCTTAGGGCTTAGGGTTTAGGGTTTAGGGTTTAGGGTTTAGGGTTTAGGGTTTAGGGTTTAGGGTTTAGGGTTTAGGGTTTAGGGTTTAGGGTTTAGGGTTTAGGGTTTGGGGGTGTCTCGAGCCTAGGACTTAGAGTTTAGGGTTTGGGCTTTGGGGCTCAGGGTTAGGGTTTGGGGTTTAGGGCTCAGGGTTTAGGGCTTAGGGCTCAGAGTTTACGGGTCAGGGCTCAGGGTTCAGGGTTTATGGCTGAGGTTTTGCGTTTCAGGCCTTGGGGCTCAGGGTGTAGGGGATGGCGTTTATAGGGTTTTAGGGCACGTAAGGGGGTTTTGGTTCAGGGCTTAGGGCTTCAGGGCTTGGCGAACAAAGAAACCTCAACGCCCAAACCACCTGAGTCATGCGTCAGTACAACCAGGAGCCTGAGGCAGCAACCCGGGTTCTTGTGAAGGAGCTCAAGTTTAATCTACTATCTTATTATGACAAAGGCCCCAAAACCCAATCCTTGGAGCCCTGACACCAGAAACCCCCAAAACCTCTTCCTGAGACAGGGACAGTTGCAGTACAACGACGAGCCTGGGTTGGCAAACCTGGTTCTTGCTAAGAAGCTTTGGTTTAGGGTTTAGGGTTTAGGGTTTAGGGTTTAGGGTTTAGGGTTTAGGGCTTAGGGCTTAGGGCTTAGGGTTTAGGGTTTAGGGTTTAGGGCTTAGGGCTTAGGGTTTAGGGTTCCATAGCATAGTCGGGTTTTATAGCACGAGCCATAGGATGATATCCTTACCACGGCTAAACACGAAGCCCCAGAAAATACTGCCTGAAACACTGAAGCCATATTCAGGGTTTGGGTTTAGGGTTTAGTAGGGTTTAGGGTTTAGGGTAAAGCCCAAAACCTCAAGCCCCTGCAGCCGTTAAACCCTGTTTGCTAGAGCCCTGTGCCCCGAAAACCCTCAAGCCCGAAACCCCAAACCCTAAACCCTAAACCCTAGAACCCTAAACCCTCAACCCTAAACCCTGCACCCTAAACCCTACACCCTACACCCTAAACCCTCAACCCTAAACCCTACACCCCAAACCCTAAACCCTAAACCCTAAACCCTCAACCCTCAACCCTAAACCCTCAACCCTAAACCCTATACCCTAAACCCTAAACCCGAAACCCCAAACCACCCAGATCCACATCGCGGCGCCGCTCTTGTATCAGATCCGGTGCCCGATCTCCAAGGCTCGCGTTCACGGGGTGTTTAGGGTTTAGGGTTGAGGGTTTAGGCTTTAGGGTTTAGGGTTTCGGGCTTTCAGGGCTTTCAGGGTTTTAAGGGTCTTTTGGGGTGTTGAGGTGTTCTAAGGGCTTTAAGGGTTTTAAGGGTTTTCAGGTTTTTTAGGGCTTTTAGGGTTTCAGAGTTGTAGGGTTTTGAGGTGTTTACGGGCTTTCCGGGGTTTTTAATTAAGGGCTTTAAGCCAGGGCTTTCAGGGTTTTAAGGGTGTTTTTTGGGCTTTAAGGGCCTTAAGGGCCTTAAGGGCTTTAAGGGTGTTTTTAAGGGCCTTAAGGGCTTTAAGGGCCTTAAGGCCTTTAACGGGCTCGCGCGCCTGGCGTTCATCCCAAAGTCTCGGCCCAGAGGTTCCTTTTTAGGACTTTCAGGGTTAAAGGTTTAGGGTTTTGAGGATTTAGGATTTAGGGTTTAGGGTTTAGGGTTTAGGGTTTAGGGTTTAGGGCTTCGGGTTTAGGGTTTAGGGCTCAGGGGCTAAACCTACTCCTGGGTCTAGCGGTGCTCTGATTTTCCATCAGGTCCTCCTGGCACCCGACGGGTTCCGAATGCCGAACTGCACGCAGGAGGTGCGCATCAGTTGAGGTCTGGATCCTGGGGCTTCC